ATTCCAGGAGCAGATTAAACTGAAGCTGTGACTGGAAATTCACATAAAGTAGCAAATATTTGAGATTCCTCTTACAAAATGAACATTAACAATAAAGTGTTTCACAAGTGGAGCAGAAGATCTTGAGTTGTGAGAAAATCCCATTTGATGCCGCAGAAATTTTCGACTCACTCAGGCCTTTTCGTGGCCATTTCCCGTCCACTTGGGAAGAGCACCCCCCTCCCCGTGCCCTTCCTCATCCTCCAGAGCACACATCATCACCTGACATGCTGCGCATGTTGGGGTATACAGAGCTTTTCTTTTCTTCATCATTGTCCCATGAGAACAAAGCTGAATAGGAGAGCAGTTTGTTGCAGCATAGACTGTGACCCCCAGCAGATGTGCACAGGTCAATTGCTTGACCCTGACTGGAAACAGTGATGTACTGCGATGAGGAGATGCCGATCCGGGTCTGAGGCCTGTTGATCCCCTTTGTGGGGGCCATGTTTCACAATGCCCGGCGTACCTTTAAATCCCTTAAATCTCGGACTCCTCACCATCTGGGCACAATGTCCTAATGTCTCCATCTTGGGGATGAGGAAGCAAGGGGCTCAAAGGAGCCAGGGACCAGTGTACCCTCAAGGTGAATCAGCTACCACATTGAGAGGTGCGATGATGCATCTTTCGGGTGCTCTAGACCTTTCCTGATGCAGAGGCAGATGGCAATAAGGAAGGGCCTGGCTTTGAAGTAGTAGGGGAAGTAGTAGGTGCTCTCTGGTGTGACAGATACCATGGACTCTGGGAGGATGGGGCAAGCTATGTCCATCTCCAAGGGGTTGGCCGAGGCCAGAGGCGACTATGCATAGCCGTGGGAGGCGGCCGTGTGCTTGCTGCCCCCATGCTCTCCTGCATGCGCTCGCATGGCATTGCCTGGCAGCTCCCACCCTGGGCACAGCCACGGAGTGCTCTGCCTGCCACACTGTGCTCGGAGTATCTGTGGCTGCTGTCGCCATCTGTCTTCATGGCTCTCTAGGGCTGTCTGTCTGTTGCCACCCCCACCCCTCTCCCGAATGCCCACTGGAGCCCCGAGAAAAGACATCTGGGAGGAGGGGTGAAAACTTGAGTCTCAACAAAATGTAGCAGGTGACTTGTTGAGCTTTCCATTCATGCACTATGTGGATGGACAGTGCCTTCCCCTGCCTTGTCTTCCATCCCTTCTTTCTCACCCAGAGCCTCGATTTTCCCCAATATCTCCAGGAAATTTTCTCGTCTGTGCCAGTGGCCTGAGCAGAGCGCTTTGGGCTGGGCAAAAGATAACTGTGTTATCACAGTCTTGGCCCCTCCAGACCCAAGTGAGTAGGTGCTTTAGAGGCCGGGCCCTTGGAAGCTCCCTCCCGTTCCTCTGCTTTATTGTCTTTACAAAGGATTTCCCAGCACTGTAGACAAATTCTCCCTTCCATCTCTGTGCCCATCCTCCCGAGGTGACTGGCTCATTTGAGAAAGTGGGGCCCACGGGGCAGGGGTGGATGTCTCTTGGCCATCCTGTACCACTGAGATTCTCTTTCCCCAGCACAAGCAGGTGAGGGAGCTCTAGGCAAACTGTTTGCCCTCCAGGGTCACACCTCAAGGTCCACTCCTGCCTTCTTGCTGATCTGGATCACAGTCCGCACCTCCTTGTGACTACCAGACCTCCCACCCCATGGCTCCAACATCTAGCCCTCCAACAGAGACAGTGTAGTCTCCAGCTGCCCCGGTGGGAACTGAAGAAGCAAACAAGGGCTGGGTTGGGGCCACTGTCCTTAGAAGTAAGAGTGAGACCTGCCTCTCCACCAAAGGCCTCTGCCCAGCCTAGAGCAGATGGGCAGCCCTGGAGGGAGGGCGGCCAGCTCTCCCCAGGCTCCCCATGCCTCCTGCACGTGCTCTCCTACTGCTGCTCTCATTCAACATGTCGTGTTCTTTTCTCTTCATCTGACCACTGAATCTGGTGATACGATGTGTCTAGGCCTGAGCTGCTTGCATAAGTTAAAACACAAAAGTGACAGGAAGCTGCTCTCAGGCTGCGTGCGGGCACCTGGTCTCCAAGCAGACAGAGGGTGGGAGACTGCCCAGGGCCACAAGCACCCCACGTCATGGACTCCGTCCACAACCATGCTCCCTGAAAGGGATGTGCCAATAACTCAAGGCGCCCCTGGGCTAGGGTGGAAGCCTCCCTCCCAGGTAATCTGTGGAGTCCAGAGTTTATTGCTTCTTTTTGTGCTTGATTTTGAACCTCTTGGATGAGCGAGCAGTGCTAGATACCCTGGGATCTCTGGAGTTGAAACCATTTTCGGATTTCATAAGTAGCTTCCGTGCTGTGGGCAGCAGGATCGCCAACACTTACCGTTCCTATGGAGACTTGTCTGCAGCACCAGGAGCAGCCTCAGAAGAGATGTTTGCCTCTCTGCCAGGTCCCAGGCAGCAGGGGCTTTCCTAGCCGTATGGAGAAGCGAAGGGCCCTTCAGAGGCTCTCGGTGAAGAAGCAGCCCTGCCCGGCACTTGGACGGCTTGGCTGTGTCTTGCAAGAGGTGGTCAGTGTTAGACGCCCATCCACAGTTGGTCTCCTGGCTCCACCTGGCAACAAGGAGCTGCTTCTGAGAATTTCTCTCTCTCTCCCTCCCTGTTGGGTGCAGGGGAGCCTAAAGCGGAGGTGTTTCTTTGATTTGCTGCATGAGAAGTGATTTGCAATGACAAGCTTTACTTTTGGAAGGTTTTCTGGTGACTGATTGCTGCTTATACCGTAGAGCAGTGACGTTTTGTTCAATCTCTCTTTGTATGCACTTTTCTTCGGGACCACAGCACGCCAGGGAGAGGTGGGTGGGGAGCAGCACCTGCAGTTGCAGGAGGCTGGTCTCCGCAGGTTAGAGAACAGCCTTTCTTCCCTACAGAACAATTTCATCAACCTCAGCTTTCTCCGCCTCTTCCGTGCTGCCTGGCTCATCAAGCTGCTGCTCCAAGGCTACACCATCGGCATCCTGCTGTGGACCTTCGTCCAGTCCTTCAAGGTGAAGCCCAGGTATGCCCCTCGTGCCCTGACCCTCCCCTGTGTGATGCACAGTGCTGTGGCCACCACCTCCTCCTCGCCACCAGAGCAGCCCCTCCTCGTGGAGGCTCGTTGTTGGCACCCGTTATCTTATTGTAGTTTACAAAGACATTTTAAGTGATCCAGAGAACAACTTGGTAATTCTCACTGACTCTGAGGTGGGTTCTATGACTGAATATAGACGAAGGAACTGAGGCGGTCTCTTGGTGGAGGGGCTTCATGGTCATTGGGGGTGGATTTGCGGTTGCTGGGGTCTGGGTGGCCCGAGAGACCCGGCCACCGTCCACTCTGCAGACGAGGCCCGAGCAAGGTAGCTGGGCAGCCCTACCTGGAGCTGCCCTGTCCTCTGTATGTCTCCCCAGGCCCTGCCCTACGTGTGTCTGCTCATCGCCATGCTGTTCTTCATCTACGCCATCATCGGCGTGCAGGTGGGTGTGCCTGATGGGACAGGGAACAGAAGGGGCCCCTGGGCCCTGGGGCAGAAGGGCACTGATCATGGTCATCAAATGGTATCAATGACAGATTGGCACTTGGGGAACATTTCTATGTTTGAAGCACTTTATGAACTTAATTCTCAGAAAGGCTGTTCTACCAATAAGGACGCAGAGGCTGGGCACCACAGGTTTGGGCCTGTCACTCAGAGTCCACTAGTGAGGCATAGCTCCATCGTCTGTGGGAAAATGCTCTGCTGTGCTCCTGAGTGGAACCCCATTGGGCTGTTAGGGTGTTGATGGGCATGTTTGATTGGGTGCTGGGCCCCCATGGTGGTGGAGCTTTTGAGCACATCTGCCTGGTGCTGAGTGGCCTGCAAAGCACCCGCTGGTCATTCTGTTAGTCCAGAGAGTTGACCTGATCCTTTACAGGAAGTTATATATTCAAGAAGAAAAAATTCAACAGGATCACACCAGATCACTGTATTGTCAAGTTTAGCTTGGATAAGTTAGATTGCCTTTATTTTGCCAAAGAACCCTTTGTCAGCTACTTGGAAAAACATTTAAAAGACAAAGCAGTGTTCCAGTATTAAATCTTTGGCATCTGGCCACTTTTCAACAGTAGGATGGCAGATGGATCCAAATGTTAAATTATAGTGGGAGAAGCCATTGTCTTAAAGGTTAGCTGAAAAGTGATTTTTAAACTCTACTTTAGGGATTGAAAATGTTCTCTTCCTTTAAAATTTGCTGAGATCGGATGCTATTTAAAAAAATATATATATATTTGTGCCTGCTTTGTTTTGGGAATTTATAAGACCAGAAGGGTCACTGATCTTTGTTTTTGGTGAATATGTGATAGTTCATAAATTTTTCAGCCAGATTCCAGATTTTAAGCCAAGTACAGTTATTGACTTCTTTGCATTCTTAACCCTAAATTAAATCAATTAAAATGGATAGAAAGCCCATTGTGATATTTTCACAGAAATTTTGAAAGAAACTTTCAAGTTGACCTCATAGCTATTACCAATAAAATGACTCCTTCGGCGTCATTGATGACAGGGTGAAATTTCAAATGCTTCCTGTCTTATATATAGCGCAGCCCATGTAAACTTAGCTCCGGGTGACATTTTTACTCAGCATGCGGACTTGCGTGTGTAGACAAGCGGAGCTGGGGGGGGGGTGCGGGCAGTGACGTGTTTGGCTGGAAGTGCTGGTCCCTCCAGCCCCTGCCACAATGGTGGTGGCTAAGCGCATCGTCCTGTGCCTTGTGGGTCCTCATGTTGCACACATCCTCTTCTGCCTGGCCACAGCTCTTGAGGGCCCAACAGGACCAGCCTGCAGCCTTCTTTCTCATTTCAGGTTTTTGGAAATATTGTCCTGGATGATGACACCAGCATCAACCGGCACAACAACTTCAGGACGTTTATGCAAGCCTTGATGCTGTTGTTCAGGTGTGTTATTTGGGGAGTCAGTGGAGGCTCAGAGGCTCCTCCGTTCAGGAGGGACAGGGCGTGTGCCGACCCAGAGGGCCACCCCCTCTGACACCAGCTCGTGCTGGCTTCCCCTCATTGGCCTTCCCAGCTTCTTCTCCCCTCTTCCTCCTTCCTTCCCTAAGGGTTCCTGGGCCTCGGGACAGATGGAAGGGAAGTCCATGAGGGAGGTCAACCTGAAAGCCCCAGGTGAGGCTGGCCTTGACCACCTCAGCTCAGATCCCTGGGGTTGGCCAGAAGGCCTCTGGTGAAGCTGCAGTCAAGGGTCTGGGAGGACAGAAGGTGTCCAGCAGGGCCTTTTTTGGTGTGCTGGCCATAGACTTTGCATCTGCTCACCTTGTTGACTGCAGGGTCTGTGGGATCGGGGCTGGGGGCGGGGGCAGGGCAG